GCAGAGGTCTACAGATGTGGTCCGCAGACTGCAGACATTTTGCCTCAGAAAAAACAAACAGCACCTTAGTGTCCTACGAAAATGAGTGTTGATTTCTTTGGCTCACAATTCTTATTTGAAGACCCGTGATAAAACGTGGTTTGATATAGTAATTCCTACAACTTTGTGGATTATTTCGCTTATCAGAATTTTAATGTTTGACTTTGCTTTCATGGATCTCTAATTCTCCATAAAGTATTTTGTCTTAAAACCCCTTTTTTATATTGAAAAAATAATTTTATATAATAATGAACTATCATTTTCATGCATATTTAGTTATGGTTTGTATACTATTTATCATTATATTTATATTTGTTGTTAAAAAAGAATATCATTTGACCGCCTATTAGAGGTTTAGTCGATTTATGTATTCAAAAAACATCATTAAAGTCATATTTGTTGTACAAAAAACACGATCACACTCATATTTTTTTTAACACAATTTACAATTAAACTAACTTTTATACATATTTAGAACATATTTGATATTTCATCTAAAAACTCCTTATTAACTTATTGACTGCTTGAGAAGTCAATAAATTTTAAAAAAAGTTTTGCAAAACCAAAAGCCTTTTAAACCAACTTCTACTTAAGCCTTTGAAAATGAGTTTTTAAAAAGTCAAGATTTGTAACTTTTGCAAACTCTTTATGACTTATTGACTTATTAACTTTAAAAATAGTCATATTACATGTATAATCTAGCCAAACACTTTTTAACTTATTAACTTAATGACTTTTTTCACCACCCAAACACTTTTTTGAAATGTCCTTTTGGAAAAGTCATAAGTTAATAAGTCATTCTTGACAAAAGTCTTTTTAAATTTAAAAAGCAATCCCAACCACCCCTTTAGTCTCTTTCATTATTTTTCGGTCATAATCAATTTGAAGGTTGTTTTCTCCGGCCGACATAACTCCAAAGATGAACGAAAACATCATTTTATATTTTTATTTTTTTAAACATTGCAAAGCTTACAAATCCTCCTTTTCCTCTTAAGTGAAAACATCAACAATAACAGCTTCTGTTCAAGAATGCAATTTACTGTTGGAGTATGACTTTGAACTGATTGGAGGTTTGAATCGAATTTTATGTTTGAATGTAGGGATTAAACGAAGGTTTGAATCTATATTGTTGCATGTTAAAGTTGGTGTTAGATTATGTTCTTTGTGGTGGTGAATTGTGGAGATGGGTGGTTGTGATGGAAGGTGTTGGTTTTTGCTAAAGGTGGATTGTGATAATGGGATACAGATTATGTTGGTGAGAGTCTATACTGTATAGTAGATAGTGTTCGTAGAAGAAAATGAATGAAACATAGTTTAATAATAAAAAGTATATAAAAAGGTTTAATGGTACACATTTACAAAAGAAAAACATGTAATACCCAGTCAAAATGGTTGGTTTTGAACATCTTAGATAAGTTTAATCGTAAATCGTATAAAAAAGAACTAAATATATATAAAAGTGATAGCTTATCACCTTACAAAAATTATTTCCTTGCATATGTAACTTCTAGGTAAATTGTATTGGCTAACTTACTATTAGTCTTGGTCACTTCACTAAATAATCTAAAAGGATAATTTATTTTTACTTTTCTTTTAATATCTACAAAAAGTATTAAATAATTTTTTATATTGGAGACGATTTTTATTTATTGTGAGACAGAGGTTTTTTAGGTTGTGTTTGGTATGTTGTAGTTACCTCACAAGTTAGTTTATTTTTCGATTTTTTTTAAATTCTCTGGTTTGACAAAAAAAAATTAAAAAACTTATAAGTTAGTTTACAAACTATATTTTTTAAAAGCTATTTAAACTGATATTTTTAGTAGTTTTTAACTTTTTTTTTTAATTATACTTAGTTAAATGTAAAAAATTATTCTTTTAAATATCCTCGCATATATATCATTTTATATTTTCCAACTAACTTACCAATTAGTTTTTTTTTCCTTTTTTTTTTGTCAAATATTACTTTTTATAGGACAAAGATAACATATAACTTTTAAGCTAACATATCAAACACACTCTTAAGTCATTACAACCATTTATTATTTTGTATACATTTCTCCATTTTAGCTGTTACATTTAATAATATTTTTTCGTATATCCTATTATATTTGAATATTAATTTTGTTATTATTTTTTGATTAACTAATCTATCTAATTAAATACATAAAATAAATATGAATATGTTTTATAAATAATATATCATAGTTGTCAAAACGTTTAAAATAACATGTATGTGCTCCTATATAATATATACTTTTTTTAGTTTTTTTGTTTAATTAAATATCTTTATAATGTAATTTTGAAAAGATGACGTATGTTTAAAAAATATAAATTATATTAAGGGATTTTATATAAAACTTAAGCCGGATTTATAAATGAGTTAACTTTTTAATTATTTTTAAAGTAAATTATTGTACAATGTTTATAACAATAAGATTTTAAAAATCTGTCAAAGACAAACCATTAAAGATATCCTTATTTGTTGGGCTTTTAAAAAGATTGAAATTAAATTCAAAAGTATCGTATATATTTTATTTTAAATCGTTAAAATCATGTTTTACAGTTTAGAGCCAAATTCAAGGTTACAAAAATTTGATTTGTTCATATACAACTAATCAAATTCTAAAACTACTCCAACTGGAGTAATATCCAACGAATTTATATTTAACTTTAATTTAAATAATATAATGAAATTAAATTAATTTGAAAAATAAAATAAGATAAAAAGAGATCATGCAAACAAAACAGAACAAATTGATTGAATAGTGGTTCCACATGGGAGGCTTGTGATTGTAACTTCACTGGCAAATAATAATTGTTATAATAGTAAAATAAAATTAATTCATGGTGGACAACTAGTGTTGGAATTTATCTACAATATGCATTAATATTATAATATAATACTTATAATAAAATCAATTAAATCCACATGATAATTTACAAAAGTGACCCCTATCTTTAATCAATCAACAATTTCTCTCCCTCCTTTCTCAGTTTCAGTTGCCGCTCCGATTCAAACCAGGGACGACTCGGTTTGCCATCTCCTTTACTTCATCGAGTCAATTCAGTGACTCAGTAACACTCCCCCCAAATAAATTACACTTCGAGGGTAATCCCGTAAAAATACAAAAGAAAGAAAAGAGAAAAGAATTCAAAAAAGACTTCTCATCGTGGATACTGACAAATTTACCTTCGTGTATTCCAAGATGAAGTTTCAAAGAAGTCCCAAAACCGGAGTTACTCAGTTATTTGTGCATGATCGGCCGAGTTGACCCGGGGTCAAAATCAAAGTCAACTCGTTTGTTTTATTCTTTTATTTTTGTTCATTTTCGGTTTATCGGAGGAGTGGTCGAGATTCCGGCCAGAAGTCAATGTTGCTCCGGATGCCAACGTGGCAGTGTCTTTGAAACTCTTCAAGATTAACGAACCGGGTTGCTGATGAATCGGACCGGGACAAGAACCGGATTATTTCTTCAAATAAATTCTCATCACAAGGGATCGCGAGTGGACCGGAGTGAGAAAACCCGAATTCCTCTTCTGCTTGACTTAAAAGCTTCTTGAAAACCGGGTGATTAAGGTAAGTTGCTCGGACGACGAATCTCCGGCAGTTAGAGCCAACGCAGACGGCGACGTGGCCGGCGGGGACGTCAGAAGGTATGCATTTACGGGACGCCATTGCCGCTTTCTTCCTCCACCTTCTTAGCATTTGTCGTAGCTGAACAATGTGGCGGATTTTGCTGCAACCTGACATTTTTTGAGCTTTTGTTTTTCGGTTTGTATGGTTTTCTGTGTATGTTGTAGAGAACAGAAGAAGAGAGGAGGAGAGAGGGGTTTCAAGTTTGGAAAGAATGGTTGGTTTTATAAGAATTGAAGTACGAAAATGCCCCTACTTTTTGTGGTTATTACAACTGTTTGACGGCTGTAAGGGCATTCTTTATGGGTACTCTTTTTTCCAAATTGTTTTCTTTTTAAAATAAGTCTCCTCTAATAATTTATCTAGAACAATGTTATATTTCAAATTTAACATTACAAAAAACGACGTATTCTATAAATAAATAAATAGATATAATATTTAACTGGTTCGATGAATACCGTTTATTTAACTTTGATAAACCTGTCAAGGTATTCCAAAAGTTATTATTCTTTTTCCCTAATGAACAGTAGAAACACTATACATAAATTAACACCATTATTGTGGTTTCCACTTACTCCTTAGTCCTTCCCTTTATAACTCATTATTTTCTTATTGAATGTAACAACACATGTAGTTAAAAGGATATAAAGTCTCAATAAGTTCGTTGAATACATCTTTATTTGATTGTTTGGTGGCTTTTTCTTACATAATTGAAATGGTTGAGATTTTGACTTCTTTTAGACTGATATTTTTTCTAAATTACTGTAAGTTTTGCATGGATTTTATGATGGGTTGAGCTTCTGAATCAAGTTCGACATGGCTTTGGTTGGTTCAAGGATCGTTTCGATTGGTTCTCATTTTTATAAGACTCAACTATATTCCTGCATAGCTTGTGTTTTTCTTTGGTCATTATTCATGTTCTTTAGATTGCCGTTTTGTTTCTCTCCTTTTTCTTTGTCTAGTAATTGTACTTTTCTTCCGGCCACTTCTTGATGATTTTCTTTTGTGATGGGTTTTGTTGTTATGAAAAAGTTTCGTTAAATACATTTATTAGTTTTATTTATTGTAACACATAGCAAAATATAGCAACTCTTTCCTACCACCGGTGCCTAAAAATATGGATTTTGCATTTACGACATGATTAATGTGATAAAATATTATATATAGACTCGGTGGAAGATCGAGAAAGAAAAATTAGGGGCAGCACAAATTTTTTAGATGTTGCACTACTACAAAAAAACTCATCTTGACAATACTTTCCGTCACTAAAGGGTTTTACCAACAGATTTACACTGAATTTACACTTATCACAGTTTATGACGGATTTTCAGCGGATTTATGAGGGATATTCGATGAATTTGTAACCGAGTTTCAATGGATTTGTAATGGGTTTACTAATCTTTATAGAGTAAGTGTGTGTTCACATCCGTATATATGATACAATTTTTCATTCATTTTATTTGATATGTGGTACCTTGATCCTATTTGCCATACATATTTGAGTATACTCCACTCTACAATACACCTGATTTGATAGCTTAAAAATGAAAGCATTGGTATTAGGGCGAATAGTGGTGGTGGATTTTGTTTGGTCAAATGAGGGAGAAGGCGATGTTTCAGCGGTCATCGTGACGAGAGACGATGTTGAGGTGGTTGTCGGAAGGAGAATAAAAGAAGTGGTAGCTTGGGTAAATGATGGTGAGAAAGAGCAATGTTTTGTTCCTTTCACACCCGATGAAAATTAAATTTTGAAAAACTAAAACCTAATAAATTGTTTCTTGGTGTGATAATCGCATTAAATGTGTTAATGAGACAACCGTATTATATATGGTGTATTCCATTACCTTTTTTTTCCTTTTGGAACAGCATACTAACTTATTCCTAAACTACACCTTAAATCTACCTATGTCCACGATTGGACTTGAACCCTCAACCTCAAGGAGGGAGGACAACACCGGATATTGCTGGGCTAGAAGCCTTTTGGTCATTACCTATTTTTCTAGTAGTGAAAAAAGGATATTACATGCATTACTATACCACCATATATTAATTATCATTCCCCCTTATCCTCTTATCATGTCATCACATGCCATGTACATAAAAACTACTTTTCTTTTTTTTAACATCAAAATTATCTTCACAATTCCTCGTTAAACGACCTTAGATCATCGTCTCATCATCCATGTCCGTCCACACCCTCTTAACCTTAGCCATTGGGTGCCACATTTAGACATGTCTAAACCACTACAAGACCCATTCTATAATATATGGAATTAATATCCAGAATATCCGAAGAGCTTATATACACTAATTTTTTGAACGCTAAACATACTTTCTCAAGATCTTTAATGAATTTACATCTAACTAGTTAATAAGTGAGGATCGAGTGATAAACGAGTTTTATTCAAAATCTATACACTAACAAAAAATACCTTAGCTAGAGGCTATGATAAAACTTACAAGATGGAACCCATGGGTTTACACACCAACTGTCCCCAGTACACATACTGCTCTATTTTTCGACATTTTAGCCACCAAAAAAGCAAAGAATTTAACATCATTAAACAAAAGATCCGCACTTTTAACCTTGATGTTTTCCATCATTCTAGTCATATCTTTGCAAAGAGTCATCGTATTGTCCCTAAAACACCACCATCACCATCTGCATAGAAGAGCCAAGTTGAAGGCCTAACGGCTGCCAATGTCCAGCCACCATTAGCTTTTGAATTCAACACTTTTCACTAGGCGACATTTGATGACAAAAGAAGTTGTTCCGACGTATACTCTCCAATGTATTGATGACATTTTGTAAAGTTAAAACAAGTAACGACCGGTTGGCTTTCAAAAACCCAAAAGTAGTCTACCTTTTATGCCATAAATTCATATTGCCATCAGTGTAGCCAAATTATATGAAAGAAATCAATTAAACCACCTGAGTGGTAGGCTTGCCATCGTTTGTTAATAGATACTATCTTTTTTTGTTTCTAATTTCTGTAGAAATGAAAATAATTAGTGGGGAACTTTTGGATCAACTCAAAGACCGATAGCAACTAGAAGCGATGCGCCCAAGTGTGCGATCCATAATGTGTAACTGCTGATGCACACTATTTATAATTCCGATGGAGACCTATGTACTGAAAACAATGCATGACAATCGACCTGTACTACTGATGTATTTCTGATTGAGACAAATAGGGAGCAACAAATTAAGTACTCTACCATTCATAAAAATAAAGTTATGGTTATGTGTTAACCCACGTAAAAGATACGAATGTTGGATATTTCGTACTATGGTTGTAATTTTAAATTTGCTCATAAAAATCAACATCTATTTATTTAAAAAAATAGAAAAAAATTGTGTAACTAATATTCATTATCATATTTACCATCAAATTTTAGATATTGTTGTAATAATAATCATACTGATATAGTAATCATATTGTTCATCTTAAAAACTAAAAATTTATTAATAAATTATATATAATTCACATGCTAACTAGTAGTCTGCCTTGTCAACACATCACTAACATGCCATAATTGTTATGTAATGGTTTTTTCTCAACTCAAACAGAAGAATCATGCAATTATGATATAATATTAAGTATATTATGATATAATATTAAGTATAGAACATAAAATTAACTTCATTTTGATTAAAAAACATAATTTTCTTTCATTTTTAGCTTCTTCTTATTGTTTTTGAACACATATTAATTTAGATTTCGTGATTCATCCCACATCTATGTATTTCGAATATGTTTTTTTATTTCACCTCCGGTAAGTTTTATTACTTTCTTCGACACTTACCTTATGTATACTTGCATAGTTTTTTTTATGGGTTATGAAATGAGGTTTATTGGGTTTTTTAACGAGCATTTTCAAAATTTCACTATAGTTTTATGTATTAAATTTCAATACGAAGAGCTATAGACAGTTGTTAAAATATTCTTATATACAATTTGTGGTGTAAAATTAAACTTATAAAACTCCATAAAAAATATATACAAATACTAGCATAAGGTCTAATAGAAGATGCAAGAAAGATGGTAGAGAGATTTGATTGATTTTAGATAAACCGATGTAGTTTTTGATAGTTTTATACCTAATATTAGGTATATAATAGCCCCATATTCCCTAAGTCCT